GAAGCATGACAGAGGGAGACAAAGTAAGGGTACATGACAGAGGGGACAGTAGAGCAAGAGCGCATGATAGGGGAAGAGAGAATGAGGATATGCAACATGGTGAGAGTGACAGAACGTGTGAGATAGGGAGAGAGCAACAGAGAAGGACATAAGATGGGTGACAGGGAGTGGAGGCACAGGCATGATAGGGGGAAAGGGGGAGAAGGGGGGAGAGAGAGCACGAGAGAGTAAGAGATGGTGAGAGATCACACAAAAAATGTGGGGGAGGGAGAGACTGCATGCGTGAGAAGGCATGCAAGAGGAATAGTGAAAGCAATGAGCAGAAATCACATGCAAGAGAATGCACTCAAGATAGAGAAAACACATGCCAGAGGGAGAGCACCTGCAATAGTACAAGAGTGCAGTGAGGAGAGCATGCATGCACGAGGGTGAGCTGGGTTCATGTGCAAGACAATGCGAGAGTGATGAAGAGAGACCATGTGTGGGGCAGCACAGGAGAATGAAAACACAAGAGGGAGAGAGCGCGCACACAAGGGAGCATGAAATGAGAATGTGAAGGAATACACAGGAGATAAGGCGTGCAGAACAATGAGAACATGAGACTTCTGCTTCTGCATATATGCTTGTGGAGAATGAGAATGCAGGAGGAAGGGAATGCATGAAGGAGAGGGAGACTAAGTGTGAAGGCAAGAGCACAAAGGTATGTGAGAAGTCAAGTGGGCACTAGGGCAGGAGATCGAGCACGCAAAATCAAATGTGACAAAATGAGCATGAGACTGAAGGTGCACAAACGGGTGCAAGACAATGTGGAGAGAACATGAAGGCATGTGAGAGAGAGAACTCGAGAGCAGGCAAAAGCTAACACATGAGCAAGAGGCCATGTGTGACAGAAATGTGAGGGCATGCAAGACAACACATGAGGGAGAGAATGAGAAGGCATGAGAGACAGAGAGCAAGTGTGACTCAGGGAGTCGCAACCCAGACTGCAAGAGCAACACAGCATGAGTGACAGTCCTAGACTGTGAGTGACAGAGTTCTAGATGCAGAGTGACAACGGATAGAGACCAAGACACCAAGCACCAGAGAGAGAAATAGCACACAGTCACTTTAGAGACAGATAGAGGAAGAGGATGTGACAAGGCATGTGACTGCAAGAAACAGAGATGGTGCATAACAGAGAGAGCATGTGACTGCAACTGAGAGAGGGAGGTAAAGCTAGCAAGAGACAGCAAGTGCTGGAAGAGAGAGGGAGAAACCACAAGCAAGAGAAAGTGAGTGCAACTTGGTGAGAGAAAAGGAGAACATGTGACAACATGCAATGAAGCAACTGAGAGGAAGAACAAGCACATTCACCTGAGAAAGCACGACAGAGAAAGAGGAAGAACATGTGACCAAGAGAGAGGAAGGGAGTGTACGCATCCACATGTGAGACAGAGGGAGAACATGACTAGAAAGAGGTAAAGTGAGAATGACTGTGCACAAGTGAGAGAGTGCACAATCACATGCAAGAGGAGAGTGCATGACTGCAAGAGGGAGAGCTCGCAACTGTGTGAGACTGCAAAGAAAAGACTATGCATGAAGGAGAGTGAACAAACATGGTTGCGAGCAAGGTTGCGTAAGAGGGAGCACACAGACACGCTAGAGGGAGCACATGAGAGCAAGACCAATGCCAAGAAAGGGAGACCCAAGGCAGAAGGAGAGCATAAGCAAGTGACTTACCAACATGAGCTTTAAGTATATGGGTTTTCAAACGGCTATTGTAAGAGGACTTGAATGGACAGAGTTTGCAACGGAATGGCTTATGGTGTCCATGATGAGTCTGCATGTGGCGATCCAGACTGATCAGAAAACAAAGAGAAAAAGAAAACAAAATAGTAAATCATTTCAGCTATTCCTTCAAATGCAAGCCAAAAAATAGTAACAACAATAAATAAGAGCAGGACAGGCTCAGCTATCCTTTCTCATGCTGGCTATCTCTTTATATCAAACAGGTGTGCTTACAGATCAAATCAGAATCTAATCTGAGAAAGAAAGAGCTGAGACCAATTTTGTCACACAGAATGCAAACCACTTAAACTCATAGGGCAAAATTACTATCAATTAAACTATACTGAATCCAGACTAACAGAAGAGTCACTTAAAGGATAAAGGCTATTTGAAAGAAACCAGAAACAAACAACAGTGAAACTATTAGTGAAGTATTCTTCTGTTCGGTGTTTTTGTGAAAGTATGCCTTCTTTTCTCCTAAAGGAAAGGAAAATATTTTTTCTAGATCTACAGAGGAAACTTATTTGGTTACACAGTAAAAGCTGACTAGACATCTTGCTCTGGGGGTAAGCTACCAGCAAGCTGTTTGTGGTTAATGACTTTCAGGAGTAAAAGGTGGCAGAGTTTCAGACATAACGGACTGAAAGATCCTGTAGAAGCTCAACAACAGAAGGAAGGGTGGAAAAGATCAGGTACTGTTTTTCTGCAGGGGAATTCAAAGCAACAGAAACCCTGGAATCAGGAGGGTGAAGAAGATCCATCACCTGTCTCCTTGGCTTCAGATCAGAATGGAGACATCTCCAATACAGCCTCTTCTTTGGAAAGATTAATGCTTTGTAATATAAGAGTAGTCTGAGCCTGCTTGTGCATACAAGTGAAACAAGAAGAAAATGTGAACGAGTTTGGAGAGTGATGGTTTATTCAACAAGACACTCCCCCCCGCCCCGCCAACAACCAGAACCCTAATAGTTCCAGGCATATATCAGCTTTATTTCCTATTACTTGACACAATTTGTTCTGTTTTTTCTTTGTTTATTTTTCTACTGCATATCAAAATCTAGATAAAATGGACTTTACTCCAGCCCCTCAAATACAGAAGGTGCCACAGGATCTTTAGTCCACACTGACAGAGCCTGGCCCGAGAAAATCCCTGTTTACCAGTGCTAAAGCCGGAGTCTGTGTAATCAAAGATCTGATGATAGTGAAAACATAAAACAATATATATGCAATTTCAGGGCCATTTCACAGAAACATAATTTTATCATAAATCCAACAGGGATTTTGTGGTAAGATTTAAAAAAAAAAAAATCCCCATTTCTTTGGAGTACCAGTAAGTCAGTAAGTCTCCTAAATAAGAGGAATTGAGGAATTGAACATTTGTGGTCAATATTTCACTTTAAAAAAACACACATTTTAAATAGATGATGAGAAATGAGCTGGTATAAAATTAAAGACTGCCAAAGATGTATACAATGTATATCTCAAGCTCAGCATTGACTGTAGCAACTATCCCTGGCACATCAGAGGCCTGTACTCAGACAGAGCTCCTGTGGGAGGATGCAGCTCTTCAGGTCTGGGGCTGCAGCAGTACCTGGAGCTTCTTACTGAAGATGGGGCAGAGGGAAATTGTCTCCTTGCCTGCAGGAGGTATGTGCTTGTTGAAGAGCTGTGTCAACAGATTAAAGGAGCTATGGGAAGAGGTCAGAAGACTACACAGCATCAGAGATGACAAGAAAAAAGATGAACTAGATATTTTCAGAGACCCTGCAGAGACAAGAGCCTGAACCAACAACTGTACTGGAGGAGGAGCAGACAGAGTCTGCTTATTGGGTTGGAAAATGGAGACTCCCATGATGGCAAAGGCTGGAAACTTGTTACTTCTGGCACCAGGAAGGCTCCTGCTCCACCTGCAGATCTGTACCTACAGAGTAGATTCAGTGATTTGGTTGCAGATGAGGGGCTGGAAGATCTGTCCAATGAAACATCTGACTTGTCCAAGCCTGAACCATGCAGGAGCAGCAGGAGGAAGTGATGAGAGACAGTAATGGGAGACTCCCTGGTGCAGAGGTATGGAGGCCCCCATCTGCTGACCTCACCTTGCTGTCTAGGGAGGTTTGCTGCTTACCAGGGGCTCAGATTCAGGATGTTGTGGAGAGACTGCTGAGGCTTGTCCAGCACTTGGACTGTTACTACCCCCTGCTGCTCTTCCACACAGGCACCTTGCCATGACACTGACAGAAATACTGCTTTTCTAACACAAGGGATTTTAAATACCTCATATCATACTTTCTTCCCATATGCATTGACTTATAGAACAGTGACGACTTCACCCCATTTAAGGTTGCCACTGACAGTGCTATAAATGTCTACATGAAATCAGCACCTGAGCTGGATCTCTCCAGTGAGGGGTACAGCTCTCCCCCCAAAAGCTACAGAAAACATGTACATGTGTATCAGTCTAGGATGCCAGTGGAAAATACCCCACAAACCTCTTTATGGCAAGCCATGAATAATTATGATTAAAAAAAAAAAAAAAAAACTTCCCAGCTGTAGGTAAAGACAGTCTTTAGGAAATAAGTTATGAGGAACCTGATTATTTATGATGACCATGCGTTTTCGTGTGTCGCATCAGACAAGAAGTGATTTCCTGAACCCATTTCAAGTATCCCACACTAGTATGAAGACTATGTTCATAGACTGAAATTGCATATTGCAATTAAAAAAGAAAAAAAAAGATTGGTTTGTGCTAACTGTTCAACACTACAAATGAAATATGTCTCAATCAACTAAGAGTCACAGTACTATTTAGAAACAAGGTAGTTGTTACATTCAAGACTAGTGAAGAAAATGCTTTTTCCTTTTCAGGCTTGTTGAATTTTATGCATTTGACAGGACTGTATTAAGTGGTGGACTGCATTGTTTGTCTACTAAAAGAAACATCTTTTGCTTGCATGCATTTTTCCTGCACATAACAAAAAGAGAACTTGAATTCATGAGGATATACAATTGGGACTTCTTATAAATAGTCACAGGCAATGGCAAAAGTTTTGGGGGCATAAAAATACCTAAACCCTGAGAAAGAGAAAATATATCTTGCAATCAAATCGTATGTGCTCCCCTTCAATGTAAACCTATATGAAAAACAGTAGTGCTAGTTCATGCTTCTATTGAAGACAAAAAAAACATAACTTACTTGTGCCTGAAAGCAGAGACAAAAGAGCAATACTGGCAACTGTGCTTGTCTTCCCCGGTAAACATGGCAAGAGCTAAGTGACTCCTCTCATGAGATCGCAGACCCTGCATAGACATCAAAACCCGGTCACACTGGCTGCAGTGGTAGCCCCCAGGACTGGTTTCATCTTCCAAGGATGCTCCAGATTTGGCTTCTGTAAATTCCACAATGCCAGAGTCTTTGGCTCCCTCAAAACCCTTCAAAGTTGTGCTTGAAGAATCTTCAGCTTCCTGCTAAAAAACACATACCCCGCAAAGCCATCATTTCTCTGTCCCTTCTGCCCCTCAATTCTTTCCTATGTGTTAATTTTAATGTCTAGGTTTCCCACCGCATCCACTTTCTAAAGATACCCCCACCATAATACACTAATGGCTTTCTGTATAATAAGAGTTGTCTTTATATATACACACACACACACACACATATATATGTATACATATAAAAAATGTGTGTGTGTATATATATATGAATAGAAAAAAAAATCTCTTGTTCCCTTTCCTAAATGTTAATTATCACAGCACACATTTTGCAACAACCTTAAAACTGAAAGTCATATTTATATCATGTTTTTCTGATCTTGGATTTTAGTCTTGGTTCCCTGCTGCCCAGTGAGAAGATGGTATTGGCCCCACATAAACTTTACTTTGGAAGCAG